GCTAGCTCTTTTGGGGTTTCGCACAGCCACCCTGCTGGCGGTGGTCCAGTCGGGGGAAAGTTGGAGTTTCCTGGCGAAGCTGGAGGAACCAGCTGGAAAACTGCAGGGAGGCTGGGCTGGAGTCCTGCATGGGTGGTCTGCGCTGAAGATCAGTCTGGAGCCTCTTCCTGTGGAGGCTAGCAGCCCCAAGGGCACAGGAGGGGGACAGGACAAGGACAGTCACTCTGCATTGGCAGAGTCTAGGACCTAGGTCTGGGCCTCCCTGCAAAGCAGCCCTGTCCCCCTGCTTGAGACAGAAGCCCCCCACCCTGAAATTCTGTACCTCCCTAAGGGCACAGGACTTGGGGAGTGGTCTACTCAGAGACTACGAGGCTAAGCCCCATCTAGATGCTGAAGTGATCTCTCCACGGGAGCCAGTGTTCCGGGGTTGCTGTCCCTGGATATTCCTGATAGAAGAAATGGGACATGGATGCTGGTGGTGGAGGGTAGGGCGGGGAGCCAGCTTCCCCAGGAGTCCTGGGAGAAGGGTGTGCTCTCAGCCCCCTGTGCTGGCAGGTAGAACCCAGTCACTGGCCCCTCAATTGTGTCCTGGGGACCACCCCCCCCACACACACACACTGGAAAAAGACTGGAGCCAAAGCTCCGTGGATTGCCAAAGTCACAGGGAGCATTTATCGTTCCATCCAGTGTTTTTTTTTTTTTTTTCTGGGTGCTTACACACCCCCCAGTGAGGTTTTATCTGTAACCAGGGCACTGCTGCGGCTTACATCTGAGTGCTTGTGCCTTTAAGGGGTGGGGCTCACTCGAGGGGGTGGGGCTTGTGAGATCCCACTCTGACATCCAGATCTTTTAGGATTTATTTATTCTTATCTGTATGGCCGATTTCACAGAGAGTCAGAGAGAGACGTCTTCTATCTGCTGGTTCATTCCCCAAGTGGCCACAGTGGCTGGAGCTGGTACAGAGCCAGGAACTTCTTCCAGGTCTCCTGCATTGGTGCAAGGGGCCAAGGTCTTGAGCCATCCTCCGCTGTTTTCCCAGGCCATAAGCAGGAAGCTGGATGGGAAGTGGAGCAGCCAGGATAGGAATCGGTGTCCTTATGGGATGCTGGTGCTATAGGCTGAGGATTAGCTTGCTATGCCACCATGCTGGCCACCTAAGCTGATGTGCCATCTCCGTTCAACCTTCAAAGCCAGGAGCTTAAAGAAGCCTTTTCTTTATCAGGCTATCTTGCCTCTGGGATTTTTTGCTATAGTAATTTAAAAATGTGCTAAGAGGCGAGGTAAGAGATGAACAAGAAAGACTGGTGTTGTGGCACAGTGGATGAAGTCACTTCATGCAATTCCAGCATTCCTCAGTACAAGTCCCAGCTGCTCCACTTCCATTCTAGCTCCCTGCTAATGTGCCTGGGAAAGCAGCAGAAGATGAGTCAATTCCTTGGTTCCCTGCACCCACACGGGAGACCTGGGTGAGGCTCCTGGCCTTGGTGTGGCCCAGCCTGGATTACTGCACCCATTTAAGGAGTAAACCAGAAGATGGAAGATCTCTCGCTCTCCCTCACTCTCTCACAACTCTGTCTTGCAAATAAATCTTAAAACAGAGATTAACAATCAATCATAAGATGGAAGAATTAGAACAGTGCAGTGTAGTGAACAGGCCAGCATGACAACTACACCTTGGGGGCAATTCTTAGGGAAAATGAGGGTGACTTGAGCACGTGCCCCCTGTGCTACGGGAGCAGGCAATACGGGAACTGAGACAGCTGCCCAGTGACTCCTGGATGAGTGGTGTATAAGGCAAGGGCAAAGGGATGAGGTCATGAAGTCAGCTGGCCTGAAATTTCAGCAAACTGCTCCTGACAGTGTGCCATTTGAAACCTACATGTCCGGCTGGGTGTTTGACCCAGGAAGTAGGATGCTGCTTGGGATGACCGCTCGGGGTTGGAGTGTTCCTGACTCCAGCTGCCTGCTCAGGCAACAGCCTGGGAGGCAGCGGGTGATGGCTCAGGCAGTTGGGAGACTTGGGTTGAGGTCCTGGTGGCTGTCCCAGCCCTGTCTGTTACAGATAGATAAGGAATTAAGCAGCAGATGAAATAAATACATCAGTGGATGGATTGTCTATTTCTGAAATTTTCCAATGAGTATTTCTGGGCCAGGGTGGACGTTGAGGAAGCTCTAAGGCTTATAGAGGGGGACAGAGGAGTGACCGTGACGGTGTTAGCCATGACCCTGGTGATGGCTCAGGCAGTTTGTCCCCTGCCATTCACCTGCAATACCTGGACCGACTTTGTGGCTCTGGGCTTCAGCTGGACCCAGCCCTGGCTGGCTGTTTGAGGAGCGAACCAGCAGATAAAAACTTTTTTCCCCCCTTTATCTGTCTCTTGGATGAAAAAGAAGACAGATTATTCTATTCTTCATCAACACTTGGCATTAAATCCTTTTAACTCGTGTCTAGCGTCTAGGTGGGCAGCCAGGAGCTCTCTGTGGAGGGTTTTTGGTTTTAGTTTTCCCCTGATCCAATTGAAAGAACATCTTTCTCAAATGTGTGTTAGCCGGCTGTGCCGCTGCTCCCAGAGCTTCCCGCTTCCGTTCCTTTCCTCGTGTTCATGTTCCGTTTCACGAGGAAGCAGGGAAGCAGAATCGGATACAGTGAGATTTTCTTTAGGGGGACAGAGGGAAGAAAATGATTAAGGCCCTCCATGCTCGTGAAGACTTTTGTTGAAGTCAAGGAAAGCCACGCTACAGCTCTCAATGCTATTTGCCTTCTGATGCCCTTTGAATTGGAACATAGCCTCTTTTGTGAAGATATTCATGGATGTTTCGGATGAGTGGGCCAACGTTGACTTTTTTTTTCTATAATAGTGGATAAAATGCTCCCGTCTTACCTGTTAACCAAGTCTTGTCTCCCCCGCTCTCTCTCTACTGTTCTGGCTCCTTTAAGAATTCTAAAACATTTCGCTTCTCGGCCTTTTCGCTAAGATCAAGTGAAGAATTCTAAAACACAAGTTCATCTACTTCTTTTTCCTTTTTTTTTTTGTTTTTTGTTTTTTAACGTTTTCACATTCTTTGAAGCTTTTTTTTAAGAAGACTTATTTTTATTGGAAAGGCAGACTGACAGAGAGAAGGAGAGATGGAGAGAAAGATCTTCCGTCTGCTGGCTCACTTCCCAAGTAACCACAGTGCCTGGGGCTGAGCTGAGCTGATCTGAAGCCAGGAGCCAGGAGCCTTCTCTGGGTCTCCCACACAGATACATGGTCCCAAGACCTTGGGTCATCCTCGACTGTTTTCCCAGGCCACAAGTGGGGAGCTGGATGGGAAATGGAGCATCCAGGGCACAAACTGGCACCCACATGGGTTCTGGGTGCATACGAAGTGAGGACTTTAACCATTAGGCCATTGCACCGGGCCCAAAGTCATCTGTTTCTGAACTGCCTGCGGTCCATGAATCTAAATTATTTTCTGTATTGTTATCTTTTAAAATTATTTATTTATTTATATGGAAGGCAGAAAATTAGACAGGGTAAGGGAGAAAGGAAGTAGGTGGGGAGCAGAGAGAGACAGAAAGAGAGAGAGAGAGCATCTTTTATCTGCTGTTACATTCCAAATGACTCCAACAGCTAGGGCTGGGCCAGGCTGAAGCCAGAAGCCAGGGGTCCCATCCTTGTCTGTCACATATCTATGGGAGGCCCAAACACTTTGGGTGATCCTCTGCTGCCTTCCCACGTGCACTAGCAGAAAGCTGGACCGGGAGTGGAATGACCGGTTGTGTGTGCCACCAGCCACGACGTTCCGGTGCGGAAGGAGATGGGAAGTGGCAGGTGCACCCGGCTGAACTGGCTGGGGAGTGAGTGGTTGTGCAGGTGGAGAAGAGGAGATTCAGCATTCTGGCGAGAAAAACAGCCCCCTGGGAGCTGCAGAGACCTGAGGTGTAGACAGACAGCTTGGCAAGAGAGAGAGGTGACTCCCTTGTCAGCACAATGCATACACGTTCATTATTTCTGTACTGCTTCAACAGTTATTTTTGTTTCTATGTATTTGCATTGTGATGGAGAGATATAGACCAATAGACAGCTTCCTTCCCATGTGCCTGCAACAGCCAGGGTGGATCCAGGCTGATACCAGGATTCTTGGAACTCTGTCTGGGTCTCCCAAGTGCCTGGCAGAGTCTAAGTAGTTAAGGCACCGGCTGGTACCTCCCAATGTGCTCATCAGCAGGGAGCTGGCATTGGGAGTGGAGTTGGGACTTGATCCCAAGTCCCAGGGAGCACCAAGCACCTGTTTCATTGGCATTTATTTTCTGGGTGCTCATTGATGGGTCCAGGCCAGAGCAGAGGTGTATTGGAGGGGAGGATGGGACGTACAAGGACCAAACAGCTGATACGACGAGGCTGGAGTGGGGACTTGGAAATGGTCATGGGGGTGGAAGGGAAGCAGGCTCAGGTTGACGGCACATGATGGCTGTGAGTGCACCCGTGGGTCTGTGGAACCGGCGTGAGCTGGCGCACAAGCAGATGTGTGGACGGTGAAGTGAATGCGAGTCTCCAGTGCTGATGTATGTGGCAGTGTGTAAACGTGCACATATGTTTATGCTGCCAAGCGTGTTCATGCATGACCCAGCGAGCTCGCATCTGAGTGACCGTGCATGTACCTGTTTCCCTGTGTGTGTTTATATTGTTACGTGTGTATACCTGTTCTGTGTCTGGGCTGGGTGTATATGTGTGGCGCCCCCGAGAATGCACAAGACAGACAGGTTGCAAGGGAAAATGGTATCATACAAGGGAGGGCGGAGTGTCTCTGGCCACCCAGGCCAGGTCTCTGTGCCTGCTGTGGGTCACAGTGTCATTGATGAGGTCACAAAACACAGCCAGCATCCTGGTGACTGCCCCCACAAGAGCCCAGTGGCCAGCCACGTGGGCTGAGGTCCTCTGAATGGGTCAGCACAGCTCAAGCCAACGCTCAGCCAACAGCTGTAGCAAGCAGACCCCAGGCTCTGCTCTCAAGTCATGCAACGTCACTTTTCGGACCTCAGGGGAGAGCAGTCACCAACGGATGGAGCCACGCTTAGCCTGCCCACACCTGAGTCCACGGAAGACAGCGGGGAATTGTGTTGGTCAGGTGGGGCCAACGAAACGGAGGGTTTAGGACAGCCAGGTGTGCTTGTCGGGAGGGAGAGAGTGGGGAGGAGGGGACCTGGTGGTTCCCCTATGCTACTGAAGAAGGGTGGGTGTGGAGGGAGGCTGTGGCCATTGATACTTCTGGGAGGAGGGGTGTGACCCAGTCTGTGGGGAGGACCTGTGCCATGTCTCCAGGAGATGAGCAGATGGGCTTGCTAAATGGTTATCACTCTGTTTATTTCAGTGTCTACCAGAACCTAGTAGAATCCATGTGTCCATCTTGGTATTAAGGCAGCGATATAAAAATTGATTTATGTTGAATGGGGTGGAGTTGTTATTGTGGCATAGCGGGTGGAGTCTCCATCTGCAGAGCCAGCACATCATTTCAAGTTCAGGTGGATGCCAGTTCAAGTTCAAGTCTTGGCTGCTCCACTTCCGGTTCAGCTCCCTGTTAAGATTTGTGGGAAAGCTGCAGAAGATGGCTCAAGTGCCCTATCACCCATGGGGGAGACCTAGAAGGAGCTCCTGACTCCCAGTTTGGGATTGGCTCAACTCCGGCCATTGTAGCCTTTTGGGAAGTGAACCAGCAGGTGGAAGATTTCTCTCTGTTTCTCCTTATCTAATAAAAAACAAATACATTTTTTAAAAAGGGACTCCCTTTGGTTTAACTGCTGTTCCTCTTGCTTTCAAATGGTCATGTAAGTAATGACATTTTTAGAGGAATATTTCCCAGTTGGAGAGTCCTGTGTGTGAAGCTTTAGGTGACCTCCCCCATAAGCAAGGTTTAGGCTATGACCCCTAAAGTTCCCTTGGGCCCTCTCCCTGTCCCACCCCACCCCATCGTCCCTGCTTCCTGGCCACCTGCTCCATTTTGTCCCGGTAGCATCACCTTTCCTAGAAGTCCTTTGAAGTGCTGGCTTATCCCCCTTGGCCTTCTAAATGCAGTACAATGCGCTGGAGACTCCTCCACCTTGCTGCGCATCAGCAGTTAATTCATTGATAGCATGGCATCCCGGGGGTGAGCCGCCAACCTTGGGGTTTATCCAAGCCTTGGTGGACCGGTCCCTCCTCAGCATCACCCTAGGAGGTGAACTTCCTTTTCATCCGCACTTTAGGGGAAACAGAAGCAGGGGAATTACAAGGGCACCTGCTCCGTGCTCCCCCGAGCCAGCAGTCCTGGAGCCTGCAGCTTCTGAAAAGAGGCCGTAGACATGAACCCTTGGGGGTTGCTAACAAGCTTGTCCTTGTGTTTCTCAGAGATCCTGAAGAAGGACAAACTCTCCCCGCGGCTGGTGCCCGCCAACCCCCTCAATGAGGACACCTGCTTCTTGGCCAGGCCCCGCAGGCTGCTGGGCTGGAGTAGCTCTCCGTCGTCCTCACAGTCATCCTCGGAGTACCACTCCTACTCGCAGTACCAGTCCTGTTGCTCCTGCCTGTGTGGCGATGAGGACGCCCCGCCGCAGAGCGTGTGCGCCCTCTACACACACGTGCAGACCGTGCGAGGAGTGGCCGTGGCCTGGGAGACAGAGGAAGGCTTCCAGCCGGTCAACAGGAAGCCCCGCATCCACGAAGCTGAGTTCATCAAGAGGCAGAGGAAGAAAGGGTCGTCCTTCGAGATGGCGTCCAACACGGACCTGTACTGGGACCTGGAGGCCTGCCAAGACAGCCGCAGCCCGGATCCGGCCGAGGGCGACGAAGACGACACGGAGCAGCTGCAGCCGCTGGAGTGCTGCCTGCAGGAGCTGCGGCCCCCCGACTGGCTGGTCACCACCAACTATGGCCTGCGCTGCGTGGCCTGCTGCCGCGTCTTCCCCTCGCTGGAGGAGCTGCTGGCGCACGCTCAGTTCGGCATCCGCGAGGGCTTCAGCTGCCAGATCTTCTATGAAGAAATGCTGGAGAGGAGGCGGGCCCGGGACCAAGCCCAAGATGAGCAGCTGGAGGAGGAGGAAGAGGAGGAAGAGGAGGAACAGAATCCTTCTGACAAGAGTGAGTCGTCCCGCCCCCAGGGCCAGGAGGCGCAGCAGTAGCAGCAGCAAGCAGAGCCCAACCTTGTCCTCACCTCCACAGCCTGGGACCGCTCTTTCCTTCCCCAACCGGCAGGACCAGCGCCTGGGGGGCAGTCAGCAGGCAGCACGGGAGAAGAAGAGTGGAGACTGGAGGAGCAAGATGGGAGGTCGGGCACCCTTCTCAAGGTCACAGCGCTTGGCTCAGAGTCCACCTCAAAGGCTGAATGCGAAGGAGAGGGCTTCAGGTGCTTCCCGGGGTGGGTGCAAGATCTGAGAGCCTCTCCCCACGCCGAGCACGTGACCACAGGGATTTCTATTTTTTGCCGATGGATCAAGTAGGCCCACACTTGAACCAGGGAAGTTTCGGCCCTATTTTTTTTTTCACTATTAGGAATCCGTCATATGCCCCAATTCTATGTCTTATATTATTGGGATTAAACCTGAATAACTCAAATGCAAACCAGTGGTAACTGAGAGACCCCAGAGGAAAGCGCTGTACACTTGAGCACAGACACCTGGGGACAGGGAGCTTTCTGGGTAGGGCGGGAGACAGATGTCTCAAGATGGAGTCCCAGGTTCTGAAGGGAGCACCTGAGGGCCGGCTGCCCCTGGAGCTGACTGGAGACCAGACGTGTGGACGTGTGTGTGTACGACCGTGCACATGTGCATGAACACGTATGGCCATCGTGTGTGCATATGCATGTGTGTGTGCCTGTGGACACTCAGACCTAGGTGCTAGGAGAAGATGCTAGGAGCTAGTTAGCACTCTGTCCATGCATAGAGGCTGAGGGGAAAGGGGTTAATGGTTTGGAACTCAGGGCACAAGTCTGGATTGGAAAACGATGCCATTAATGGCACATGGATGGTATCATGTTAAAACCACTGCAGTGCATGGATAAAACCAACAGGGATCGCAGCCAGGGTTGGCCAGAGTGTGGGCTGGGATATAAGAAATGGAGTGGGAGAAATTTTGTAGGGCTTTTCTCCAAAGCTAACCAAAGTTGGGGCAGATGGCTTTCAGGGCTGGTGTGCGGTGCTAAATGCTAAGAGGACCTGGAGGAAGCTGAAGATAACGTGGGGTCATTTCCTTGGGTGTATGGGGGCTGCTGATGGCTCTGATGGAACAGACTCAACAGCTGAGCAGAACCAAGGTCAGGCAGTCCATAGGGGACACCAGGTGACATGCCAGAGACAAGCATGGAGCATGTTGGCTGGCAAGATGGGTTCAAGAGAGCAAGAGAGATTGCAGTGGGGCCCCAGGACACTGATGAAGGAAGCAGAGATGGGAGAGAGCCCACTTCTGTACTGGCTGAGAGGATTCTGTAGTGGAAGAGACCCATAACACAAGGAGGAAGGTGGTGGTGGTGGGGACAGCTGAGAGGCCCAGCAGGAGGGGGAGGGCTGAGCGGATGAGAGAAATGGATCTTGGAGACAACAGGTCTATGTGCCCTGTGCATGGAGGGGCACTGGGGTCACATGGTGGTGGGGTGGAAACTCCCGAGTCCAGACGTCACAGCCTGGGCTTGTTCTTCCTGAACAATCACAAGGGGTGCTCGACACATTAATCTTATTTGGAAGGCAGAGAAAAAGAGAAATTTCTCCTCAACTGACTGTGACAGCTAGGACCTGGCTGAAGCCAGGAGCCAGGTACTGAATCCCAGGCTCCCAAGTCATCGAGCCATCCCCTGCTGCCACCCAGGGTGTAGAATAGCAGGCAGCTGGAATTGGGAGCAAAGCTGGGGCTTGAATGTGTGCACCCCACCATACAGGGCTTTCTGCACGGCATCTTCAAGGCTGTGGCAAATGGACACTCCTCAGAGGGTCTCTAAGGGAGATCTGTATTTGTGAAAGATTGCTCTGTCCAACAGGCCGGGGATGGATGAGGGTGAGTATTGGAGTATTGCTGGGACAAGCAGGCTGGCATAGCAGGTGCTGAAGGGAAGCCCTCCTGCATGACTGGTGTGAGACAAAGGTGAGGAAGAACAAGATGTCCATGGACCGCTAGGGCTTTTGTTCCCTGGTGCCTGTGCATATTGGTGCCATTTTCAAATAAGGGCAAGTTGGAGAAGGAGAAGATTGGCTGGGGCACCAGTACGTTCCTTGTGAGCAGGCAGTTTCAGATAGAAACCAGCAGAACAGAGCTGGTCGGAAAGAATAGAAACTAGCAAGATGGGTATCTGGGATGAAGATGGACGTGTGGTCATCTATGCAGCTAACTGGGTGTTGTCCATCCTATCGGATGCGTTCTCTCTGCTGGGAAGCTCAGCTGATAATGGATGTGGAGGAGGTAGGGGTTGCAATTTTTGTAATTGACTTGTTTCTGCAACATAACAGTTCTGTGTTCATTCGTGATTAAATTGATCTCTCTGCATTGCCCTGGAAGCTCCACAGACATGAGTAGCATCTGAGTGAGAAGGGGAATCCTTCCATAGGGCCCAGGGACCCCAGATGTCCTAGATTGCATGTTCACAAATACCCTCTACTTTCTAGACCCATACATAGCCAAAGATGGAACTCATTTTATGAACCTGCCATAAACCTGCTAACAGAGCCTGCCAAAGGTGATTTTAAAATCAATACCACCGATGAATCCAGAATAACAGCTCATCCAGACTAGAAACATACACACTCACCCCGACTGGGTGTGGATCACTCACGAGTAAAGACAGTTCAGGATGATGGAATCTTGGGGTCAGTGCATGTGGCGCTGGCATCCTAAATGGGCACTGATTCGTGTCCTGGATGCTTCACTTCCAATCTAGCTCTCTGATAATGTGCCTGGGAAATCAGCAGAAGATATCCAAGACTTTGGGTCTCTGCCGTCAATGTGGGGGGACTGGAAGAAGATCTATGTTCCCAGCTTCAGACAAGCAAAGCTTCGGCTACTATGGCCATGTAGGGAGTGAACCACCAGATGGAAAATCTCTCTCCTGCCTTTCAAGTAAAAACAAACATATGTTTAATTAAATTTTGCAACACTTCATATTGAAGGAAACATGATGATCTCATTTGATATTAGAAAATATGGCATCAGAAATAAACTCCTCCTAAGTTTATGGTAGTTGATTTCTCACAAGGGCATCATGATCATTCAATGCGGGGAAAGAAAAATCTTTCTGGCAAGTGGTGCTGGGGCAGCTGGATTGGAAAGAGGCTCCCTGGATCACTACCTCACACCATATATAGAAATGAACTTTAAACGGGAAGGATCTAAATCTAAGAGCCAAAGATACACAGTTGTTGAAGGAAACACAAGCTCAGATTCTGTCACTGACACATGTCAGTCTAAAAGCTTGCAAATGAGCATTTGAAAAAAACAACACAAAGATGTCCGCACAAACTTCATGTCCACCAAGTGATGGGCATAAACAAATATGGTCTGTTCCTACAATGGGATATTATTTAACCATAAAAGGACTGAAGTATTGATTCAGTTATACAAGAATGAACCTTGAAAATGTTATGGGAAGTCAAAGAAGCTGGACCCTCATGGGCCGTATTATGCATGTTTCCATTATGCAAATGTCCATGAAGCTTTCTTTTATAAAGGCAAAACATAGAATGGTAGGTTAGGAAGGGAACTAAGTGTTAGTGGATGGGGTGGATAAACATTCCAGAAGTAGATGGCGGCAATGGTTACATCACTTAGTGAATATATTACAAACCACCGAAACTACAAATTTTAGGATTTTAGGGTGTGCAAATTATACCTCAATTTAACAAATACTTAGGGCCTGGCACAGTAGCCCAGTGGCTGAAGTTTTTGTCTTACACTTGCCAAGATCCTATGTGGGTGCCAGTTCTAATCCCGGAGGCCCTGCTTCCCATCCAGCTCCCTGCTCTTGGCCTGGGAAAGCAGTCAAGCATGGCCCAAAGCCTTGGGACACTGCACCCGCATGGGAGACCTGGAAGAGGCTCCTGGCTTTGGCTTCACATTGGCACAGCTCTGGCTGTTACAGCCACTTGGGGAGTGAATCATAGATAGAACATCTTCTCTGTATATCTGAATTTCCAATTTAAAAAAAGGAATACTTAGTAATGTTATTGTCACAACCAAATTTATACATTCCTTAGAAATGAAAAATAAGTGATACCGACTATCTCAATCTGAAGAATAAACTATTCACAGCTGCTCCTGTTTAAATTAGGTAACCTTGTCATACAATTTTCATTTGACATTATTTTGGAAGTTAACAGCCTATACATGAGACGTCAAACAGATGTTATCCATAATGGACAGAAAATTAAACATTTCAGAAGAGGACAATATAATTTTGAAAGTTCAAATGAGTTGACTGAAGTGATTAAAAACAAATGGAAACATTGAGATAAAGAACATAAAAACTTCCTTGTGTGTTAGATATAACTAGTTAGGAAATAACATGGAAACTATTCCATTTACTAGATTAAAAATATTCAAGGAGGGCCTGGCGCAGAGACCTAGTGGCTAAATCCTTGCCTTGCAACTGCTAGGATCCCATATCCCAGCTGCTCCATTTCTCATCCAGCTCCCTGCCTGTGGCCTGGGAAAGCGGTAGAGGATGGCCCAAGGCCTTGGGACCCTGTACCCATGTAGGAGACCTGGAGGAGGCTCCTGACTTTGGATTGGCAAAGTGAACCAGTGGATGGAAGATCTTTCTCCCAAATACAATGAAATGTCCAAGTAACTATTTCAAATTGACGCTTGTTGAATTTTTTTTCCAGTAGTTCGCACAGTTCCTAGGTTAGAAAGGCCGTAAGACATTCAACCTAACATTCGCTCTGTTGGAAGTCACGTTGGAGGTCTTCCTCATCTTCGCTTGTGCACTAACGGCTGCCACAATAGCATCCTGGTTTGCTAGCTCCTATTCCTCAAGAATGAAATTTGCTTTCATTTTAAAGGCACTTTTTATCAGTTGAGAACCCAGCTGATACCAGGCAGTTAAATGACAGAACAATGCTGTGAAGGCTCTTGCAGACTTTGAAAGAGGAAGGTCCTGGGAGAGAAAATCAGGCTGGGAACTCCTGGCTGAGAGGAACAAAAATAATGAACGTGGGAAAGAGAACAAGATGGCATGGGGGAAGGCGGGGAGGGAGAGAGGGGTAGGCACACTGGATGAGGGAGACGGGGTGAAGCAGAGAAGCAGTAGCGGTGGGTCCCAAAGCTGTGGAGTCCCCCACCCTCAAAGATGGTAGCATCCTGAGCCCTTTCCCCAGGGCAGTCCCCAATCTCAGCGCTGTTCAGAAGCAGCTGCTGGTACAGGCTGAACTGTGAACTTTCCAAAACCGCGTATTCCAGACTGTGACCAAATGTGGAGATGGTGTCTTCAAGAACACCGTTAAGAGAAAGCGAGGAGACACGGATGGATTTATTGTGGAGTGACTGATATTAAAGGAACACACACACACACACACACACACACACAGAGCCATCTCCAAGCTAAGGGGGGAGGCCCAGGACAAGCCAAATTCTGTCCATCAAGATGGGACGATTGGCATCTTGACCTTACTGAACAGTGCCTCTTTATTATGACAGCTGACAGGTTGGTGGCACTTTGTTCTGGCAGGCTGAGCTGGCAGGTTAGATTCCAAGGAGCAGGAAGGCCTGCCCAGGGAGGCATCAGGAGGGTAGGCACGTTTAAGGTCCTGTAACCTCAGATTTGTGGATGTGAGTGCTATGGGATTTGGAGTGAGTGCATGGTAGACCCCACTGTGAGACTCATTGCAATGTCCTGCTGGGAAATGAATGGGGCCCAAGGTATGCTGAGCCCTGGCAAAGACTGAGAGGTCCAGGGCAATGCCACGTGTGCAACTCGTAGCCAGAGTAGCAGGAAGCCAGATCCCATGTGTACACAAGTGGGGGTAAGTGAATGAGTGTGTGTGAGCACTCATGGGGTCCTTACTCCTCTGTGCTGGTCCCTGCTGATATCTGGTTCAGGGCAGAGCGCAAGGACCCCATGGCAGCAGGCTAGCCAATGATGCCACACACCACAAGGGCTGGTCGATGCTCTGCTGTTGGGCTGCTGCACCTGCTAGAGACTGTGAGACCAAGGGGCTGTCCATCATGGAAGAAGAGGGTGCAAATGACCCACTGCCCCCTGGCAGGGTTTGCCACATGTGAGGGCTACCCTGGCCCAAGGTGTCTTCAGAACCTGTGTTGACTTTCATTCTTGTAAATAATTTAAACAGTGTCGAATCAAACATCCAAGTATATAGTTGTTTCACCACCATAAAACAGAATGCATGTATCAAACACTGAATGACAATGGCAACAAAACTCAACATGTTCATTTCATGTGACAGCTGAGAGCCTGGCTCAGTGAGTTGGGGCCTCGAAGGGACTTGGGCTCTTTCTGGGCGTGTTGGGATCTCATGAGCACAGGTCTGGCAGGAGGAAGGTTGCAGAGTTGGGGTCCTCACCCCAAGGACCCGTTGTTTTTGCCAGAATCATCGTGCACCTGCTCGAATCCCCAGAACGTTTGTGTCTTCAACCCTTCAATGTCTTCTGATCCAGAATTTCCAGATTATCAGGATCCACGGGAGGAGCTTCCCTGACCCAAGTCTCCTGCTCAGTCTACGGAAGAGCACAACTCGAGTTCCCTGGACCATCCCTGAGATGGGGAGGCAGCGTGTCATAACCAACAGTACCCTTGGAAGAGATGACAAATGGAAACTTTCTATCCGTACTCACATGATGCTAGGACAACACACAATACTGTCTTCAAATAATATTCCTAAACACTGTCTCTACATATTTAAACACCAAAACTTAGCAGAAGTTGCTAGAATACTAACATACACTCTGTTTGTTCTAACCCAGCTTCATCAGTTCTTCTCAGTGTGGTTATCACTCCCTTTCTTTTTACACACATCGGAACACGGCCACACTTGCTGTTCTCTCTCTCTCTCTCTCTCTCTGTCTCTGTCTCTGTCTCTCTCTCTCTTTCTCTCTGTCTCTCTCTCTTGTTTTTCCTCCTGAGCCAATGAACAGTAGTTTATAGACTTTCTGGCTGTTACCATCTGTATGCCTTATAAATCTTCTAAGAAGAAGTACCCAGGAAAGTCCCTCCGTAACCATGCCCAGGAAGCTGAACACTGAGTGTTCAGTAGAGCCTACCCACGTTCAGGTGTGGCCAGTGAGTCCAGGTCTGATCCAGGGTCACTGATTACGCTTGATTGATATGTCTTTTACCTAACTTGTACGGTTCCTGAGTCTAGCATCTTTGCTGAGAGCAGAGGCATGGCCTGAGATTCCTAGCTTTGGGTGCCGTGATCAGGTTCAGGGCACTTTTTCTTTGTGGTCAGTTATGTGAATAACCTGTCCAGTTTTTAGCTTTCCCTTCCTATTCCAACCCCCTTGTATCTGGAGCCATCTAGGAATCTGGAGCCATGTTTGGTTTCCTGCGATGTAAGTTATCTTATTCAGCTAGCTTGCAGGCTCCTTGGCTGCAACTTCATTGTTATTTAACTTGTTACAAATGATGGCTTATTTATATATGAGCAGGGAGTTGCATTGGAACTGGAGCAGCGTTGACTTGAACTGGTGCTCTGATGCAGAATCTTGGCATTGTAGATGGTGGCTTCACCTGCTTGCCACAGCGTTGCTCCAGGGAGACTGCTTCTTTATAGATGAGCTGTCAGTTTTGACTTTCTCTTTCCACACCTTTTGGGGAGAAACACTGCACTCTGCATCTCTTTCCCCAGGCATTTGGGGGGGGACCTCCCGACCTCTCCCAGTAGGTTTTCCTGCCAATTCCGCCTCCAGGGCAGCTCCGGGTGTTCCCTTCTGATTGGCTGGCTTCACCATCTTCAACCATCATCCCTTACTTCCCTTCCTCCCCCCCCCCCCACAGTCTCTCTGAGCCAATGGCTGCTCCAGTCACTCCCTTTTGCTGGTGGCAATTCAAGCAGGTTCGTAAGGAACCTCTTGGGTTGGAAAGTGCACGTGAGCTACATGGAGGAGGAAATGTTCAAACCCCGTCATGTTCGTGTGCACGCACAGGCTGAGACATCAATGCTTGGAAATCCGCCACCCCCTTCCAAGGGTGCTGTTTTTCTTATCCCGGGTGCTCCCTGGTTAGCATTTGCTGTCACACCCAGATTCCCATAACTCAAGCACAGGGAAGGAGGAAGAGCCCAGTCTTGTAGGTGACCCCCAAGAATATACTTATTCTGTTAGCAGCAGAAAACCAATGGCAGGAGGGGAGCTGCGAGGTGAACCCGGGCACTCTGCTTGTCCCTGCTTTGGGACCCTAGTCTCTTGCAACCATGGCAGCAGGGTGGTTGATGGTCTGGTGTGGGATGCTTAGTGTCTGCCTGGGTCCCCTAAAACACCCCTGGAGGGATAGGTCCTCCTCCCCATTTGCAGAAATAGGGGAAGCCGAGGCAGGTGAAGATGAGTAGCATAGGGGAAGGACTGGGTGCCTGGCTTGCCGAGCGTGGTCCTTATATTCCTGGTCTGCACAAGTTTTGAACTTGCATGTGGTATGGACACCCCAAATTTAGGGCTGAGGAAACAGGGTGGTTTCCCCAATCCGTCCCCCATATCTACCCCCCAATCGTTCTTGCCTGAAGAGTGCATACAGGAAGTCAACCTGCAGCGAATTAAACCCAGGTCAGAGGAGGCATTCCTTGGTCCTCACTGCAGCTCTTTGCTCCCCCAAGTCAAGAGCGCTCGCTTCCCCCTCTCAGAACCTCAGTTTGCTCATCTGAGAAATGGGCATGGAGGAAGGAGGCACCCAAGGAACTTGGAGTGCGGCTGGCCCCAGCGGTGGCTGGCTGCCCGAGGGGCGGGCCGGCCGGAGGCGGGCGGGGCAGGGGGCGGGCTGGTAGCGGCCAGACCCGGCGGCGGCGACGGCGGCGGCAGCAGCGGTGGTGGCGCCTCCCGCGTCACAGCGCCGGGCGGCGGGGAGATGCGGCTGCTGGCGCTGGCGGCCGTGCTGCTGGCGCGGGCTCCGGCCCCGGGTAAGCGCGGTGGAGCTGGGCGCACGGGCGGGACGCACGTTTGGTGACTAGAGGGCTGCGGCCGCTGCGGGAAGGCCCTGCCGCCTCGGGTCGTCCCCTTCCAGCCCGGGCGCCTGGGGCTCCGGGCTGCGCTGTCCTTGTGTTCGGCGCATCGCGGGACTGCTGCTGGCGGCGCGGGCGCGGCAGGCACGGCGGCGCCTTCCCAACTTTCCGCCCATGCCCTCCGGGGGCCCAGCCGGCCGCCACACTCCTGGCCCGGGGCTGGTGCGCGCACGCAGCAGAGGCTGCATCTCACAGCCTCAGTCCCCTCCAAGTGCAGGCCTGGGCGGCGCAGAACTGGCCGCTCTGCGCAGACCGGTCGTGGGGTCCCCGGTGACACTTGTTGGGGACCCATGAAGTGACCGGGCCTGGTGAGACTCGGTGTCCGGGTGCTGGAAGACGCAGGTCCCTATCCCACAAGCCCACTGCCTGGGGAGCAGCCTTTCTGCCCGTGTCCCTGGTTTGCTCTGCGGCCACCTGTAAAAAGTTGCTGAACTTCTCTGGGTTTCCAGCGCCCCGTGGTTCAACATTAACTGCGTTGGGAGTTCACCGTATCTGACTGTGCCCTGTATGTGCTTCCTGTGGTGGAATCCCACACTACTTCACTGTCTTAAACGACAGGAGCAGCTGTTCATTCCTCCCAGTACTCCCCAAAGCGACAACTCGGTTCATTTTGCCATTCACTCCCAGACGAAGGTGCTACTGTTATGCCCATTCCATAGGTGATAAAACCGAGGCCTAGGCCTGTGACTGGACTCAGCTAAAGTCTCCAGACTTGGAAAACGGAAGAGCTGGGTCTGACCAGCTGTGTTTTGTGTGAATTTGGGAAGGGTGCCGGGTTCTCTGCTGAGGGTAGCCCTGCTAGGAAGTCAGGGAGCTGGCATGACTCCTTCTCCGGGCCCGCCTCCCAGGGCTGCCCTGTTCCCAGGGAGTCAGGACTCAGTGTCTTGGGACATGCTGTGTTTCCGTTGTCACTGTCTTGGCTGGGGAATGATGAGAGGCTTGCTTATTTGTTTAAAAATTCGAAATACTGCATTTGAAAAGCAAAGGGCCTTGCAGACTGGGGGTGGCAGAGCGATCTTCCAGCCCACCTCCTCCCCCCGTTCCTTCCCTACGTGGCTGCAATAACCAGGCCTGGACCAAGCCCAGGGACAGGTGTGACAGGGATCTGGGCCACCGTCTGCCACCTTCCCAGGCGCAGGAGAAGGAAGTTGGGTTGGAAGTGGAGGAGCTGGGGCTCTGACAGGCCCGTGCTGTAGGTGACGGTGGCGGCTTGGCTAGCTGTGCTGCGATGCCAGCCCTTCCTGGGAGGCGTGGCTAACAGGTTGTTCAGCCTGATAGAGTAACAACACCCAGAAGGCTGGCAGAGGTTCCAGGGAGGTGCTTCCTCCCTCGGGCTCCTTGGCCCCCTTCCTTCCTTTTGCTCTTGGTCATTGTACTTCTGGTTAGCAGAGTCTTCTTCTTGGGGCAGGTTTCTAAGCTGTGTCACCCACAGGTCTACAATGCGATTTTACTTATTGCAGTTGGCACACAACTTTTTGCTTGCAGCCACTTGTGCCACAACCTCCAGCGAGTTCCAGGTCTGGGTTCTTATGTCAGATTTCCACCATGGTCTCCACAGCCCCAGCTCTTGGCTCACCACTCTCCACCTACTGTGGATACTGTGCTGAGGCTGCACTGTTATCTCTGCAACCTTTCTCCCTCTTCTGGTTGGAGTGGTTTCCAGGATTAAAGAGACACCAGGTGTACTATCTAGTTAGGTTGTTGGTGACGCTGATCTTGTTGGAACTTGTTGGACGCTAGGTCTGGGTGCCACACGGACCTATTTTGAGTGGTACAATGTCACAGTCGGTATTATTTTCCTGCGGGACCTCAGCAAGCTCTCGCGAGCTCAGCACATGCGCAGTTCTCTGTTGTCACCTGCAGTCCCAAAGCTATTGCCACAGTGCGCAAAATGGCGCCTGGCGTGCTACCACAACAGTTCTTGATCTGCTGGCCATCAGGTCTTAGGGCTACCCAGACCTGCCCCGGATGGAACCCGTAGAATGCCACGTCGTTGCAGTTCACCGAGTCAGAAATGAGCTCACTCCCTGCTCAGAGCATGCTCAGTCCTTTCCCTTGCCCTTTCCTCCTTATGCAAAATGGGGCCCAACTCGGCTCTAGGGGGCTGACTGGGCTATGAAATTCACACTGTTCTCGAACTGCCTGCCTGGGACCTGCTGCTCTGTCTCTGCTCTTGGTCAAATCAAAGGGACCAGCAGGACGGACAGTACTTTGTCTGGGTTCACCTCCCAGGTTCCCATTGAAAGTCCCTTCCCACCTGGTTGCTGGTGGAGTTCCGCTGCTGGTGGAGCCATGCTGGAATATCATTCACTGCAACACCACACTGCTGTGCCCGCTGCTTTCCCGTGTCTGTCAGTCTCCAGGTACCCCTCTGCTGTTGTTCTGTTCTTTCCTATTTCCTGAAATATGTCCTCTCTGCTTCATCCTGATTAAATGTTTCTCCGTCTGATTAAACGTGTCCTTACCCTATTCCGCCGTCTTGATTCTCGGCCCCCTTCCTTCCAAGGGCCAGGACATTTTCTTGTGTTCATGAGGTTTTAGAGGCATAATTTTGTGCTTTTTATTCTTCCCTGGTTGTGCTAGGGCTAACAGCTCCTGCTTTGGGGGACCCTAGCCACAAGCCTGTCTCGTGCTGTCTTAAGCCTCCCGTATAACCGGACTCCTGTGGATCTGGCAGACTTATCATGTCTAGAAATTCAGGCTCCTAACTACTGAACTACCTCCCCCAGTTGTGATGGAGTGGGACCTTGGTGGTCGCTGTCCCCCTGTTGCTTTACAGGAAAGAACATCTGATAACTCTGAGATGCCTAGGCCAGGATTCCAGCTTGGCTGTGTGCTGTGTGGGTTTGGCCAAGCTGCTTCGCCTCTCTGGGCCTTAAACCTGAAGTGCAAGAGTAAATGGAGGAAGCTTATTCAAGGTGCATCAGCCAGGGAGGGCTTGGTGTGGAGGTCTCCACCTACCCATGTTAGCACCTGCACCGGGCACTGTGCCCTGGGTGTCACATGGACGGATCTGCCCCTAGCCTCAGTTGGTTGGCAGTGTCTTGGTTTGGCCTGGAGCTCTAAGACCTCTGTGTTTTTCTCAGAGATTGCCATGGGTGCAGATGCTGCTGTAACAGGACAAGCTTTCCCCGCTGATCACTGCTGACACGTGGCCTGCCTTCTGACTTTGGGGGCTCGAACAGGAGTGGGGCTGTTCTTCAGGCAGAGAGGAAGTGGGAGGGAGGCGGGCACACTAGCACATCCCTGGTGCAGGTCAGGGCCCGGGGATCTCGGCTGTGACCATTTCTGCCTCTCGGGCAAGGCCAGGACCTTGTGTCTCTCTCTGGTCCTTCCCTCCCCTGCACCTGCCCACTGCTGGGCCCTCCCCTCTGCATCTGCCAGTGATTAGTGTGTGTTCTGTGTGATTAAGCTTGTTAGATCTTTCTGTCATACTATCTAGGCTCACACAAAGGGGTTAGAGCCTTTTACCCTTGCCTTGGGGAGTTGAAGATCCAGTTACCTAATTTCTATGATCTGGTACAGAATGAAACTTTCTCCCGCACACACTGTGTGTGTGTGTGTGTGTGTGTGTGTGTGTGTGTGTGTGTGTGTGTGTGTTTTAAGTTATTAAAATGTAAGGGAAGTGACAACAAAGCTTAAACCTGGTGTGGCTCTCCTGGACTCCAAGGGGGTGCCTGGAAGGGTGGGGGAGAAGCAGAGCAGGGGTGGGCTTTACTCTTGGAACTGGCTGCCAGCTCATCCCAGGCTGTGGGAACAGCTGGGTCAGCTGCCTGCCTGGCTGCTGACCAGGCAGGGAGTTCCCACTGGGAGGCCTTAGTGCCAGGAATGCTGGCTGATTGAATAGGCACCTGCTGGGGGCGGGACAGGGGCAGGAGGGCCTGAGGCCAGTTGTCCCCACTGCTGGTTCTTCATCCTGGCTGCTGAGTGACTTCTGACCCACTAAGGGATTGTGAAAGCGTGAGACCCTTCATGGTTTGGTACTGATCTGCAGGAGGTGACTTCAAAAAAGGTTTGTGGAAAATAGAATGGAAAGACACTCATTTCAGTGCAGATTCTCTAAATCCATTTAAAAATTCAAGGGTGCTTTAAAAACTTCATGAAAAGGGAGCATCACAAATAAAAGCCTACATAGGGCTTTCAAAATAATTTTTGCATCAAACGAAGTTACCTTTTAATCCCATCCCCCATTATCTTTTTTAGATTTATTTATTTTTATGAAAAAGAGAATTTTACAGTGAGAGAGAGAGAGACACAGAGAAAAATCTTCTGTCTGCTGGTTCACTTCACAAATGGCTGCAATGGCCAGAGTTCAGCTGATCAAAAGCCAGGAGCCAGGAACATCTTCTGGATCTCCCACACGGGTGCAGGGTCCCAAGATCTTAGGCCGTCCTCGACTGCTTTCCCAGGCCACAAGCAGGGAGCTGGATGGGAAGTAGAGCAGACAGGACATGAACCGGTGCTCATATGGACTGCTGGCACTGTATGACAGAGGATCAGCCTGTTGTGCCACCGTGCTGTCCCTCTCTCACCCCTCGTGATCTTTTTGAGGTGCCCTTGTATTTTCCAGGTGTCTCCCTGGACTGGCTTTGCCACTCATTGCTGTAGCCAGGGAGCCCTCCTTCCTACCTGATTGTAAGCAGAATCTGACTCAGCATTTACCACTCTCTTCTAGCCTTCATCTTTGGGTTTTTTTTTTTTTTTTTTGTAAAGTGCCAAATATTCCTGTGTCTCAGTGTCTGGGAACTCGTGAGTGTTACCTGTCTTGGATCTGGAGAGCAGACATTTTCTGGCTGCGATTAAGGCTCTTGGATTATTCCAGAATATTCTGGGGCCAGTGCCTGGCTTCCGAGAGCTGAGTAAGGAGAGAGCGTAGCCCCTCATGTTATCTCTATGTGTTGAGTTGATGGATTTCACCAGAAGAGACCACTCGTGGGCACTTCAGAAAGTTCTTGGGAGAACGAAATTTAGAAGTAGGAGCTTATTTGATGAGAATTCATGAGGAAAATGTGTGTTACAGAAAACCTATGAATGGCTCTCAAAAACTTCTTGGCACAAGAACAAACCAATATTCGAAATCCCACTTTTCTGTGAATCCCATTGCTTGAAGCGCCCTCCTACATGATGACGGCTTACTTCCTGCGTCTTTGTGAGGAAGTCAAGCGTTTGTAGGGCACCTTGTGCCTTGGGACTCACGGCCTCTTTGGCAGCTGCTTAGCTCTTTCTCAGTTTCTTCTTCCTTCTGGCTCCTTGTTTCCTGCTGGACAGAGTCTGTGATTACAAGGTGAGCTCCGGGGCCCAGCAGCATGGCCTAGCCGCTAAGATCCTCGCCTTGAACGCGCTGGGATCACATATGGGCGCTGGTTCTAATCCTGGCAGCTCCACTTCCCATCCAGCTCCCTGCTTGTGGCCTGGGAAAGCAGTCGAGGACGGCTCAGAGCCTTGGGACCCTGCACCCGGCTCCTGGCTTTGGATTGGCATAGCATCGGCCGTTGCGCTCACTTGGGGAGTGGATCATCGGACGGAAGATCTTCCTCTCTGTCTCTCCTCCTCTCTGTATATCTGACTTTCCAATAAATAAATCTTAAAAAAAAAAAAAATAAAAAGAAGAAGAAGGTGAGCTCCGGGGCTGCACCATGGCATAGCAGGCTATGCCTCTTCCTGAAGCACCAGTGACCCGAGTGCCGGTTCTCTGCTTCCGATTCAGCTCCTGCTAATGTGCCTGGGAGGACAGTGGAGAACGGACCAAGTCCTTGGACCCCTGCGTCCATGAAGGAGATCCAAGGGAGACGTCAAACCAGGGCGGCTCCAGCTGTTACGAGCATCTTGAGAGTGAACCAGCAAATGGAAGATTCTCTGTGTGTGTCTCTTCTCTCTCTGTGACTCTGCCTTTTAAATAAAAAAAAACAATAATAATAAATTTTAAAAAGGAAGAAGGTGACATCTAAGTCTGAAATTGTAGTTTGCACTGGTGCTGGGGACACCTAAGCTGATGTGTTGATAGTGATATGTCCCGGAGCCGTCCACTGGGCAGCACAGGTGTGGCTCCTGGTGTAAGTATCATCCTGATTGGACAGGAAAAAGTCCCAATGCCCTGGGATGAGGGAACATCCTTCCTTGGGCCCTGCTTACCTGTGAGCTACACGCAGCACACAGAGCGCCTCCTGGAGAAAGACCCTTGGTCTCCCTGAGTTCGCTCGGTCTGTGTGGTAGGTGACCCCATCATGGTTTTTCTGTTATTTTAGAATTCCGAGGACTGAGCAATGCATTAGTGGAGGCTGTCAACTTCCAAGTTGAAGGCAGGGTTCTGTCGAGGGCTTTTTCACTGAGAGAGAGAGAGAAAAAATGTCTCCTTTTCTAACTCACTCGTGTGTCAGTGGCCTTAATGCATCTGTGAAGATGTCACCCCCATGACCTAGTGGCCTCTTACTGGTCCCACCACTCCATGCTGTGACAATGGCATTTGCATACTGGATAGCACCTGTAGGAGACATCTGGCTCCTTCAAAGACCAGCTCAGGGACCAGAGCTGCGGCTGGCAGTGGCTGGCAGCTCCTGGGTTGAGTCTACAAAACCAGAGTACAGAAAGTAGTGGGACCAGGTGCGGGGCTACCGAAGTTTGGGGGCTGGTTCATCCTTGATTGTTGCAATTGTACTGGGAGAACATGGGTATCCCCTTGGTTTTAAGACCACAGCTGCTTCCTCACTACCCACTTCTCTGCTTTCCTCCACAGAGGTCTGCGGAGCCCTCAATGTCACCGTGTCCCCTGGACCCGTGGTGGACTACCTGGAGGGAGAGAATGCCACTCTGCTTTGCCACGTCTCGCAGAAGAGGCGCAAGGACAGCCTGCTGGCCGTGCGCTGGTTCTTTGCGCGTGCCGACTCGCAGGAAGCCTTGATGGTGAAGATGACCAAACTGCGGGTGGTACAGTACTATGGCAACTTCAGCCGCAGTGCCCACCGCCAGCGGCTGCGCCTGCTGGAGGAGAAGCGAGGCTCACTCTACCGGCTGTCTGTCCTCACCCTCCGGCCAGCCGATCAGGGCCACTATGCCTGCAAAGTACAGGAGATCAGCAAGCACAGGAATAAGTGGACAGCCTGGTCCAATGGCTCCTCGGCGACAGAGATGAGAGGTGAGAGTGCGGTGCGTGTCTCTAGGGAGGGTGCTGGTGGAGATGTGGGAGCCGCTTGGTGGCTTCTTCTCTGCTTTCTAGGCAGGTGCACCTACTGGGCTGAATGTGGTGCACCCACATTCTTGGCCTAGGTGGACCCCAGCCACAGGAGTCCAGCCGAGAGGAGGCACTGAGCTGGACAAGGGGGCTGATGTGTGTGTGTGGTAGATACGGAAGCCAGGACAGAAAATGAGTGGTGGCTGCCGGGCCCTCCACTCCATCCTCAGGGCAAGATCTTTTCTGTGTCTGAAGGAGTGCACTCAAGATAAACACGGGACAGCCATCTGGCCTCGTGCTTAGAGCTGCCAGTTGGGGTACTCGAAGTCCTGGCTCCATCCCAGGGCCCGGTTTCCCACTCATGGGCATCTGGGAGGTAGTAATAATGGCTCAAAGTATTGGGTCCCTGCCACCCATCCACATGGAGAGAGCTGGACTGGGGCCCAGCTTTTTCATCTTTGGCCTGGCCCGACCCCAAGTGTTGTGGGCATTTGGGAGTAAAGCAGTGAATTGGAGCTTGTTCTCTCTGTCTCTCTCTTTTTCTATCTATCTTTCTTCCCCTCCCCCCCTTTCTGAAATTAAGAAAGAGAGAGAGAGAGAAAGAGAGAGAGAGAGAGAGAGTACTCAATAAAATCAGCTCCCTCGTAGGAATGGTCTGGTAACTACTGCCCTAGAGAGAAGAGCACAGTGTGAATTGAACTTGACTTTGTGCAGAGGGGTATAGCACTAAAGGGCTGAGTGGCACCAAGGATGCGCAACAGCCACAAAAAGCACAGGGAGGGCATCGGGTCCACGGGGAACCCCTCACCCTCGGCCAAGGCACCTGCTGACCTTGGGATCCTACTCTCCCGCGTGGTCGGGAGGCCCAGGTCTGTTTGTAGCCAGTGCTGGAGCGGTCAGCAAGCTGTGTGCACCAGCCCTGTCTCCACAGGCCGCCACTGTGAGGAGGGAGTAGGCTCCTGTTAGGTGTGCAGCCGTGAGCTGTGAGAGACCCCGAGAGTGTGTGTTCTAGTCTTCAGGGGTCGAGATTGAAGTCTTCCTAAGGGCTCAGAGGAACTGGCGTTGGCCGGGATGGGAGAGGGGAGGCCTGCTGTGCAGCCTGGGTGGCTTTGGGTGGTGGTGGTGCTGGCTCCAGCCGAGGAGAAGCTCCTGGGGGGAGGACCTGGGGGAGGGGGAGCCGCTGCCAGCCTGAGAACAGAGGAACTGGTGACTCTGAGCTGCTGCCCGGTGGAGCTGACCCGAGCTCAGGCCATGGATCTTTGAGAAACTCCTCCGGAAGCGGGCAAGGGCCCTCCCCTCCCTGACACAGATAGGAGGTGTGGGCTACAATTTTGGAATATCTTAGCCATCCCATGCCATCCTGGAATGTGATACATTTATTTAATTTTTTTTTTGTCACCTCTCAGTTTGCCTGAGACTTTGTGCTGTGTCCTAAAACTGTATCCTCTTGGGACTGCTCTGAACTTGAATTTAAACTGGCAGAGGGTCACAAGGACCACGTATTCCAGCTGATGATTCCTCATAAGAAGCAGAAGCTTGATTTATGACAGAGGCAGCGTAACGGAAAGGGGCTGGGTGACGTGCAACTCAGGTGCCATTGATGTCTTCAGTGAATAAGGTGAAATAATCAACCTTGAGTAGAACTTGACGTAGCCCCCCTTTCCTGCTGTTTGGGGTTGGTTTATTGTAAAGTGTGAAATGGCATAGGAAGCAGAATTCATCCTGGTTCTTCTCTGTAAGCAGATGAGTTCAAGAAAATCAATGACTTCCGGTATGAATATAACACACATTTCGGCTCAGAAAACACAACCGAAAAAATCCATCAGACACCACAGCCCAAGGAAGTGCCACCTGCCTTTCACTTACACGTACCTCCATCTTCTCTTTATTTCCTTTCATTCCTGTCCCTTCTGTTTCTCTCCTGCCACCCTCCCCCCATCTTCCCATGCCATACCTTTCATCTCCCTCTTTCATCTAGCTCAGTCCCATCAACGCCCTGCACCCCCCAACCTCTCACCCGGAAGTGGAAGTAGTACTCACCCCACAACACAGCTGCCTCCCTCCCTGGGGCTTTTCTGCCTTAGCCTCTGGGAAAGACTGTAATTTGCCGATGGCAGAATCAAAACCTTGGGAAGCCATGCCATAGCTTCTAGAATGTTCGACGTCAACTTTAGTGGGCTACTTCAAGGGGGGATGGGATTAAGGAAAGCAGATGCTAAGCCAGTGGCCTGAAATAGGATTGGGGTATTTAGCTTGGGTTATGTCCACTGTGTGTCCTTCCTGGGCAGGGCTGGGGACAGGCCTGTGGCTCTGATGTCCCAGAGCCTGCTTGTGCAGTGCTCCTCTACTGGGTGCTTGCTTTTCTGAATCTCCATCTCAGCTAATGGCTGTCACCTGACCAAAGCAGGTGCTGGCGAGGCAGAGTTCCGGGGGCCAGTAGCTCTGGGATGGAACGTTAAGGAGGCATGCTCTGAGCTGTAACATTTGCCCCCTTCTGTGGCTTCTTCTTGTTATTTTTCTTTTTTATCTTTTTCAAGTTTTTATTTACTTGACGCACATAGTGATATGGGGGTAGGGAGCAAGTCAGAGAGAGAGAGAGAGAGACGTTCCATCTGCTGGATTATTCCCCTGACGGCCTCAGTGGCTACAACAGGGCCAAGCCAAAGCCAAGATCCAGGAATGCCCCAGCATTTGGACCATCACCTACTGTCGCCCGCGAAGTGCAGTTGCAGGAAGCTGGATCAGAAGCAGCATCAGGGGAGGGCCCCAGCATCCACGTGTCCTGAGAGGCAGCCCAACCTGTGGAGCCGTGCTGCTGGCCGCCTACAGGCTAACAGGCGGCCTCTGCTCTCCTCCCTTCTGTTCACTTCTCAAGGCACCCCAGGAAATTTCCTTTCTAAAGGTGCCCCCGCCCGCTGGCTGCCATCATGGTCTCAAGCTGGTGCCTCTTCCTGCAGTGTTGGCAGCGCAGAAGGCAGCCTCTGCTCTCACCTCCCATCATGGTTGCCGGGAAAGGGTGGGCTCTTGCTGATGTATCAGGCATGGCTGCTGGCACAGTGTCTGCCACTAGCTTGTTGCTTCTTGTTTTCGCTGCTTCCCCATGTGTTGACTCGTTGCTTATTGCAAACCCCCACCCCTAACCCCATCCCCCAGGGTTTCATCATAAAAAAAGATGGAAAAATTCTGGAAACATTTAAAGAAGAAAATAGAAACAAGCTACTCTGTTTTCACCCAGGCGGAGCTTCACATTTCAGAGCAAAGCCCTCGTAGTTCTTTTATGCATATACACACATAAATTCTAATCTCAGTGTTATTCTCCACTCTGTTCTGGGGCCGGCTTCTCTGATGCGGCTCAGTAGAGGTACTCATGTTTCCTGTTTATGTGGGTCTGTAGCATAGGTTAATAATATTCCCTGGAGAGTTTGTGCTCTCTGATGTGGACTGTCACAACATAGCTCCCCGCTCACTGTTCTGGGGACTGAAGCTGCTCTAAATCCTTGCCCAGCCAAATCTCCATGCACAGTCCTGCCCCAAGCGCACAGTCCTAGAACCAAGATTGAGATGAAGTGATGTGAATTGCTCTGTGTGGCTATTCCCACTGGCATTAGCAATGCCTCTTCCCGTGGGTTGGTTCATGGCTTAATTTTATGATGTTAATGTGACTGGGTTCAGGGTTGTCCAGATGGCACCTGTGTGGGTGCCATTTCTCTGGGGGAACCCTGACTGGTGCGATCCTTTGTTGCCGCTCGGGAGGAGGGTGGTGATGGTGATGATGGTGAGAGCCTGGCACACCATTGGTCCTCAGCTAACACTGTGGGGAGTGGACCACCTGCTGTTTGTCAGGGAGTGTCAGTACCTCTTGCTGTTATTGGCCTTGACGAGGCTGGCATGACGTGGGTGCACTCATCCTGCCGAGAGACCTTGCTTCCCTTTCCCTTGGCCTCTTCCAATCATGCATGTCTACCTGTGTTCTTCATCCCACCTGCTCTCAGGGTACCACCCTGTGGAGAGCCCTCCCAGCCTGCACTGTGCCCATAGTCATCTCTCTACTGGCTTCCTAAGCCAGTGTAGTTTATGACAGATGATGTCACATCACTCAAATACTGAGGTGTGGCACTCTGCCTCTTCCCCAACCCAGTGTCCTCAGCCCTACTTGCACCCTCAGGGGTACTCATTGTCCAGGCTTTGGTTTGGGTTGTTTTTTTTTTTTAAGATTTATTTATTTTTATTATTTTTTTTATTGGAAAGGCGGATATACAGAGAGGAGAGACAGAGAGGAAGATCTTCCATCCGATGATTCACTCCCCAAGTGAGCGCAACGGGCCGATACTATGCCGATCCGAAGCCAGGAGCCTCTTCTGGGTCTCCCACGTGGGTGCAGGTTTCCAAAGCTTTGGGCCATCCTCGACTGCTTTCCCAGGCCACAGGCAGGGAGCTGGAAGGGAAGAGGGGCTGCCGGGATTAGAACCGGCGCCCATATGTGATCCCGGGCGTGCAAGGCGAGGACCTTTAACCACTTGCGCCACCGCGCCGGGCCCAGGTTTGGGTTGTTGGAGTCCCTGTTCTGTGGGTATGCAGGCTCACCTTTATTTTTTTTTTTTTCAGGCTCACCTTTAGAATAGCAGCACTTGCATTGTTGGGACTGGTTGTTGGTGATTCTATATGCTCTTAGTGACTAAGTTTGTGTCGTGAGAAAAGACCAGATCTCATCTGGTCGTTGTCCAGCGATGGCCACTGAGAGGACTTCTTCTTTCTCTCTCTGTCTCTCTGTCTCTCTGTCTCTCTGTCTCTCTCTCTCTCTCTCTCACACACACACACACACACACACACGGTGCTGCGGTGCACATTTCAAAGTGTCTGCCATGGGATTGCAGGGTCTAAGGCTGCACCTGTTTCATTTTCTGCCAGACAGTGCCAACATTTGATGGCTAAGAAGGCCTTGCAGATTCCTACCCCTAGCAGTG